GATCCCTAAACAAGATCATATCTGCAGATTAAACTTTTTTCGTAGAAGTATTTTTTAAATTTGAACTAGCACCTAATGACTACACCACGTTATGTACGAGAAGCTTCAAAAGACACAGGTGCAAGTGGAATGTAAAAAACATGGTGACATTAATTTTTAAGTAAATATAATGGGCGATATATTGAGTCACCAAAAATGATTGCGGTCGATATATTGATTATTGCGACAGGCCTAGTTATAGTCTATGTAAAGGATGATGTTTTATGTCAAAAATGCTAGTGAAGAACAAAGCCTATAGTTTACATAATAAATAATATTTGAGCATCCAGATACGTCATGAATATGGAAACATTTGGATTCGTGCAGAATGAGAGAGGTAGGCTTCAGTTTCGCTTTTAAATTAATTCATTTGGCTTACAACTTTAGAGGATTTGTTGTGGAGAGAAGGGAACTAAAATAGCCTAATTGTGTTTGTAATGTTTGTAAATATTTTGCTTTATTTGACGGTGTTTTAGCCTACATTATTTCTGAATGATAATAAAATAATAACAATATATTAATAATAAAATAAGACGTACAGCCTACTCATTTAGGCTGTTTTTTACTCTCAAAAAGCTTATAGGAGTAGCGTTTTTATTCATGCTGCAAACATTTTTAAATATCTTGAAAAAATAGGCCTACTTTAATGTCTTTAAACCGTTGACAGTATTTTCTTTTGTTTAATACATTTGCTCAAAATCTAGAAAAGATGATGCTGTATTGGCTATGACTAAGTGCAAGATAGGCTACCAGATCAAGACCCTTGTGTGTTTTTTTTCTTTGAGTAAAGAAAACGCTGTACTTTATTATTATTATTATAGGCAAAGAAAAAGTTTTTAAAATAACGTTGTTAACCAGTATTTTTTCTACTGAAACCAGTTTCGGAACGGTAATAATACAGAGGAACACAGGAACAGAAACGTTCAAATACCAATTCTGCTCGGAGTGAACCGATCAATTTTTTTTCTTACGTTTTTAACCCCTGCTTTATGCAATTTACCAATATCGATATCGGAATCAGACAATACTTGTTTGTTAAAATCGGTATCGGTCAAAAAAAATCCTATCGGTGCATCCCTATTAAATATATTTATATATAATATAAATTATATAAATATATACATGTAAATTAGGGCTGCACGATAAATCGCATGCGATATTTAACGCGCATCTTATCAGTAAAGCTGGTTCTGTAATCAGCGGTAAATCTCCATCACGTGCGTGTTTTCACATTGAGCAGCAATAACTACACAGAGCCGTTGTTCACAGGCAAGCTGCGCAAAACCACGTTCATATTCGCGCGATTTTTTGCGCAGTTATATACACTTTTTAAATTTTGTATAATGTTAAAATGCAAAAAAAGGATTGAGATCATTAATAGTGTGCAAGCAAAATTCTTTGAAGTCAAAGGAAGCCGACTACTGAAAATTTAAGCAAGCCAAAGAGGATTTCGCTAATTGCCACAGAAAGAAGCCACATTTGCAGCCAGCGAGGCTGATTTAAGCCTGGATCCCAGCCTTGATCATGTAGGAGCAGGCCTTAAAGGCATAAACCCGGCCTGTGTTGTGTCAGATGGACAGAAAAAAAGAAGGGGTGGGGGCATGCCAAGCAACACCAGGGGGGCTGGGCTCCCCACAACAACAACAACAAAAAAAAAATGTGATGAAGCTTGGCTTGGCAGGAGGTCTGAGTCCATGCCTAAGCTTGTAGCTCAAAGGCAGCTGATGATCTCCCTTCGGGAAGCAAGAGGTTGAGCGGTCCATGAGCCGCATCTGCCCCCCTGCCATAAAGGACCAGAACCGTCTTTCTTGGATTCAAAGAGTCAGAATCACTCAGGGGAATGCGAAGACTGAAGAAAATACAGTTTGACTTCCAAGTTCACAAGTAGCTGGCCCTGCCCTGTCCCGTCAGCTCTCGAAGCCCAGCGCGGTTCAAGTGCCCACTACAGGCAGACTGCCAGTTTCATAGCTGAATGTGAGTCAGACAGATGTATCCTGTATTCACAATGAGTTTAGGGTGTGGAGAGACTAAAAATAGCCTATCATTGCCACTAAGACATGATAATGTGGCACAAGTGACAGAGATTCTTTCTGAACTGAGTCTAGGATTATAGGATTAATAAACCTATAAATGTTAAATTGACGCAAGCAAACACAAAAACACAAAAAAAAATCATAGAGGTGCTGCATTTATAGAATCAGGTGGAGAAAATTGTTTCATTAAAAGCATTAATGCAACCACAATGAGCATTTAAACACATCTGTGCATTCACAGCAGCAGATTCATGTGCTGAAAGAGGGCTAAAAGCAATGAAGGTAAACAGTACAACGTGTATAGATCATAAACGATGTCATTAATATGCAAATGAGATTACAATTACATTTTAAGCGTACAAAGTTTCTGTCTAATACTGAACTAGTACAGCAGTCAGTTAGCGGACTGGATTGACTCCAGTCCTCTTCTCTCTTTATGTGGCAAAACGCGCGCATATATCTCTCATTTATCTTTAAAATGAAGACTGTCAGTAAAACAAACTATCTTTTATCTACGCCTATAGTATTTAAAGGAGAAAAGTTTGTGTGCGTAAGATACAGGGGGTGTTTTAACAAACAAACTGGATAGTGGGGCTGTAACAAAGCCCTGAATGAAGTTCCCACAATTCCCATTCACATACACACACATTAGCTCGCTAGCAACAGAAAAACAGGCAAACCGCTTCAATTCGCGCCTCGTTTTGGGGCGTAATTTTCATATGCTGCCTCAAACACCTCCGCGTTGACGTCTTACCTCTCCTGGTCCAGGATTCTGTCGTTTTTGTTGTATTTGGGAGCTGTGTTGTGTATGAGGAGGCGTCCTGTTCCGGGGTCACATCCCGACAGTCGGCAGCGCTGGAGTGACTCAAGAGCGTAAACGCGCCGCTGCTGAATCAGTTCCTGCCGGTGCGACGCGCGACCGTCGCCATCAGAGGGCGCTGTGACGCTGCCGGACACTGGTCGTTTATTGAGTGATCGGTGAGCACGCAAAGAGAAGGGTTTGATACATATTTATTATATATTTAGTATATTATAACAAGAGGAATGAAAAGTCAGAACATTCTGAAAATAAATGTAAAAACACTGATATAATACTTATCTGATATTTCTTTAAAAAAAATAAAATAATAATAAAATGTGTTTAATACTTTATCATTATATTATATTATGAAATATTTTTAATATATTATTAGAGGAATGAAAAGCCTACATAACAGTCTAAAAAGTACCTAAGCATTAAACTGGCAGATTAGAAGGCCTAACAATAAATGTAAAAAACGTTTTTGGAGCACTCAATATACACTGGCTGAACCACTTTTTTTCATATACACCACATTGTTTTAGTCATATTTTCTGTGGTACCACTCATAAATAGGCCAATGTAATAGGTCATACTATTTTTCAGTTTCAGTAGGCTATAGTTACTTAAAATCACTTTTGTGGCCATCTCATGTACTCTGAAGTACTTTTGATTGCATTCTCCAGCTATTTTTTTACATAATATTATCAATTCAATCTTTTTCTCTCTATGAATACTGTAGCAAAAGAGACATTTAATGGGATTTTACAGTTTCATCATATATTCCTATGATTGACATAAACCTTACACAGCATATCACCTCCTTAATGGTTTAACAATAAAGTACCGCTATTCAATAATTTGTAGTTTGCAGTTGTTTAGACAGTGTGATCATGACAGGTATTATGAACCCATTTCAATTCCAGAGAGTATAGAAGCTGTATTAAAGAGCTATGTTAATATATAATAAGCTTTAACAATAAGCCATTAAGGTGCCCGAGTGGGATTCCGGTTTCTCAGGATTAAATACTGATTGCCGTATTACAGAAAATCCTTCAACTGAACTAAAACGGAATTCATTGTTCTTACTGTTATCACCACTGTTTCTATGCCCTAGTCTCAGAGCATATGTTACTGAGAGTTTCCCAGCAGTCTCATTTACTGTACTCCTCACACTGGGAAAGCCTCGTTTATCATTCATTACACAATAAACATTGAAGTCCCATGCAGCTTCCACTTCCCCTTTTATCTCCGTTTCATTTTCACTGTGTAAATTTCTCCAACACACACAATAATAACACTCAAATGCTGATCAGGCGTATTTAACTTCCTGTCCCACACTAGTCTGAATTCTGGAAATTAAGTAGGGTCAATTCGGGTAAATAGTCCATATTGTGACAGCCACCTTAAAGGTACAGTTCGCCTAAAAAATGAAAATTTGCTAAAAATGTACCCAAACTCAGGCCATCCGAGATGTATATGCGTTTGTTTCCTCATCAGAACAGATTTGGAGAAATTTAGCATTACATCACTTGCTCACCAGTAGATCCTCTGCAGTGAATGGGTGCCGTCAGAACAAGAGTCCAAACAGCTGATAAAAACATCACAATAATCCACATAACTCCTGTATGTCAATGAATGTCTTGTGATGTAAAAAAAAAAAAGAAAAAAAGCTGTGTTTATACAAAACAAATTCATCAATAAGGCATTTTTAATTTAAACCATCACTTTGGCCAAAATATGAGTTCGTAATCCATAATAATGCTTCCTCAAGTGAAAAAGTCCATCGCCTGCTGTTCTCTCACATTAAAATCCACTAACATATTTGTTTTGAACTGTTTTGAATTATTTTTTCTTATAAACTGTGCACATCTCTCTCGATTCAGCTGAAACTACTTTTTCCACCAGAGAAAGCAATATTATAGAGTTAAAAACTTTGGATTTAAATGTACCCAAACTCAGGCCATCCGAGATGTATATGCGTTTGTTTCCTCATCAGAACAGATTTGGAGAAATTTAGCATTACATCACTTGCTCACCAGTAGATCCTCTGCAGTGAATGGGTGCCGTCAGAACAAGAGTCCAAACAGCTGATAAAAACATCACAATAATCCACATAACTCCTGTATGTCAATGAATGTCTTGTGATGTAAAAAAAAAAAAGAAAAAAAGCTGTGTTTATACAAAACAAATTCATCAATAAGGCATTTTTAATTTAAACCATCACTTTGGCCAAAATATGAGTTCGTAATCCATAATAATGCTTCCTCAAGTGAAAAAGTCCATCGCCTGCTGTTCTCTCACATTAAAATCCACTAACATATTTGTTTTGAACTGTTTTGAATTATTTTTTCTTATAAACTGTGCACATCTCTCTCTTGATTCAGCTGAAACTAATTTTTCCACCAGAGAAAGCAATATTATAGAGTTAAAAACTTTGGATTTGTTTCTTACAAACAGCTTTTCACTTCACAAGATGTTAACTGATGTACTTGAGTCATGTGGATTATTGTGTTTTTATCATCTGTTTGGACTCTCATTCTGACGGCACCCATTCACTGCAGAAGATCCATTGATGAGCAAGTGATATAATGCTAAATTTCTCCAAATCTGTTCAGATGAATACACAAACTACATCCACAAAGATGGCCTGGGGGTGAACTATTCTTTTAATGTCAGAAAAAAATGCACCAATTTATTATTTTCCTCCCTCAGATGCCAGCTACATAGACAGCTAAATACCTGGCTCCTTTTCCAGTGCCTTTGTGTAGCTATCAGAATATAAAAAAACACTTATTTAATAAAAACAAATAAATAACCCACAAAATCAATTTCATCATCAATAATTTATGGCAAAAATGAGAATGAATAACACGCATCCATAACTCATAACACCTCTGAAAACTTCATATCAAAGCAGTCATGTTTAAAAACCGAAACAATACATTAGTAAACCGAGAAATTCAAGATCCTGGCGTTTCATACTGTGAAGTGACTAAAGATCATGGTACACAATCAAAAACAAGATGCAAGAAACAAAACAAGAAAACATGAGAGGTACTCGGTTAGTAGTCCAATAGATAGTCATCAATACCTACACCAATGCTAAAATCCATTCATTATGTGAAAGTTATTCCTCTGTCCACTAATCTTCCTTACATTATTAAAATGATATGCAGTGGGTGTTAGTAGGACTTTCATATATAAAGATTAGATGGATTTAGCTTTAAATCTCTTTTAAAAATTCACATTCTAGAGGACATTTAAAGATTCAAAATAAACAACATTTACGCATCTGTTGAGAAAAAGCATCTTCGTGAATCAGGTAGCAGTGGATTCAGTCGGCGAATACTGTGGTGATACATTCTGGAATTAATTCAGGTTTTACCGGAAGAGAAAACACAAGCTTAACTGACTCTATATTCAAAATAGGCACACAATTAACAGTGCACTGTTCTACAGAGCAACAATATTCCACTTTTGCCCTGATTTATAGTACAGTAGTACACGGCGTACATCCTTTGCACACATTTCACTGAACAAAAAGCAAACTCTTTGGACACGACTTCAAGTTGGCTTGTGTCTTATCCCAAAGGCACAGAGAATACCCCACAAATACAAAATATTTAAGGCTCATTTCTACACTGACATAAAAAAATGTCTTCTCATGTACACCACTATACAAAGGCTTTCCTGATGAACAATTTTCCTATTATACAAATCATTCAAATGAAAAAATACTGTTTTAAGGAATGTAAATATACGTATGATACACTAAAGAATATGTACAACCAAACAAATTCATGTAAACAGAGAAACAAAAATCCTGAAACAAAAATGTAAACCGTATGAAGACAGACAAAGTGCTTTCTTCTCCAGAACAAAAGTCACTTATGCTGTACAGTTAGAAATTATAAATACATTAATCTCACTTGCTCGGAGCTTTTCTCTGTGCAGGTACACAAGTGTGACAGAAACAAACCAGAGATGCTAGTTAAATTAGTGGCATGCCAATAGTTTGTTAAATTAGTAGCTTCGATTCCCAGTGCAGTGTGTTGCAAATACAACATGTATCTGAAATTACTCTCATTTCAAGCAGTAGGTCTCACTAAAACAAATGTATAGAATTATTTACTATTACGTCACAGATGTAAACATTCGCTAAACAGCTGTTGATGTATATACTGCCCTGCAAAGGCAAAACGCAGGAACTTTTTTGACCGAATTTCTGGATTTTAAACACAGAATCTAGTCGCATTTGACCTATGATATTGGTCATAACTCAGTTTTGACAAACTGTTTAGTTACTGCATTTTGCCTTTGCAAGGAAGTATAATGCCATAAATGCCAGACAGCAGTGCAACATATATTGTGTTCAAAGCTGCATTGGTTTAAATCAAAACTCAGCATCAAGAGGGTTTCAGTGGGTCTCCTGTGATCGAGTGCCATTTATCTGTTATCTTTGGCAAAAGAGTGCATCATCCAGTTCACCTTGGTCTTCCAGCTCTCTCTTAGAGCTTCATTAAATTTTACTTTAAAGTTCTTCAGTGCTTCCTCCTCAGATTTCCCCAGTGCCAAAGAGTCCTGTGAGAAAGAGGACAATCCATCATGATGGAGGTGGAATGTCACCACTGAACATATTCTGTATCCGCCTAGTTATGACATTCATTATTCCTCTAACGAATGAGACTCTTCAAGGAATAGTCAACCCAAAGATGAAAATTAGCTTAATTTTCTCACCATCAGGCCACCCAAGATGTAGATGAGTTTGTTTCTACATCATGACGAATTTAGATAAATTTAGCATTACATCACTTGCTCACTAATGGATAATCTGCAGTGAATGGGTGCCGTCAGAATGAGAGTCCAAACAGCTGATAAAAACATCACAATAATCCACAAGTAATTCACACCACTCCAGTCCATCAATTAGCATCTCGCAAATCTAAAAACTGCATGTTTGTATGAAACAAATCCATCATTAAGGGGTTTAACTTTAAACTGTTGCTGCTGGCCAAAATACATGTCCATGATAACACTTCCTCCAGTGAAAAATCCCATCCACTTAGGGGTGTGCGATATTGAAAAAAAATAATAT